TTTGTTTTTCGGACACTAAATTATATATTGTCACAATAATCTCTAGTTTTTGCCTTGCATCACTGGGATGATTTTGACTGCTGGATGGGTTTCTTTATGCTACAATAGGCTAAAGTTAGCATGTTTGTCACAGTAAGAATGGAAGCATACGCTGAAAGCATGTGTGATCACAGCCTCACAGAGCTGCTAAAATGGCCGTCGGCTTTTAGGAAACCTCATAGCTCAAAATGTAATTTGTAAGGAACCATGTACAATATTAAACACTAATGTTACCATCTGCAATCCCTTGGCAGGTCACAAATTAGAATAAACGGAGAATGAAAATCACTCACTGCTGAGTGATCTTTTGATTCAGTTTGCAAGTAAAGATTTTGATCTTCATACAGATGAAAGATTAGATTGTTGTGCAACCAGTGTGTGAAATACGGGGGGTCTCTGGGGGACCGAGACCCTTTGATTGACAACTCAGACCCCCTGAAAGCCTCAATAGCAACATTTTGAGGGGCTCTCTAAAATCATAAGACAAATAGTTTGTCACTTGTAATCGTCACTAAAACGTATTTTAAAAACGAACTAATGCCCAGCAGTTTTCATTATTCAAACAGCAAAACATGTTTTCACAAATATAATTAGTGAGTGCAAGAGACGTTATTTTGCGTGACCCCCAGATTGACAGCAGGCATTTCTCACACTGTGGGTGCAGCACAAAATGTACTTTCATGCCAAAGAGTGAATGCATTGACTGGAAGACATGGGTCTCGATGAGTGGGACATGTTAAGAAGGTTTCGTGTGATTGTGGTCTCAACAAAACCACTTAAAAGTTAGAGGCAAGCTGCTGGTTGTGGTTTGAATTTCCGTCTCCGGGGGCTTGTGTGAGAGTTGTTCTGCAGCCCCTCACCTCTGTTGTGTATAAAAGGTGTGATATCACCAGACACACACACTCACACACACTCAGAGATCACCGCTCACTGCCAGCAATGGAAACATCTTCAGTCCTCCTTGTGTGCATTCTGGTGACATGTTCAGGTGAGCTGATGTGTTTTTGATGGTAACATTGTCTTTATCATGTGAAATGTTCTTCACCATTGTTTGTTTTTGTCTCTTCACAGTTTGGACAGTCCACGGGAGAAGCTTCAGAGTCAACATTGATGATCAGAAGCAGGTGGAGGCGGAAATCTCCGTGAATGCCGGCAAGGTAATGTGACTGTTTTAAACACTCCGATAGACTGCATTCATCTTCAAACATGTCAAAATTTGATATGAACCACAAAGTGTCACTTACCTATTTGGTATGTCTCTGTAGACTGTGTGACTGTTAACCAGCTTAAACCCTGGCTGTATTTCTTCTCCCAGCCTAAAGACAACCTGAATAAACTCAAACTTATGATCAATGGTGATGGAAGTGCTCAGATCTTTAGCTTAAGTAAAAGAACCACTGCAACAAGTCAAAATACAGAAGCAGAATGTAATTAAAGTATCAAATTTCATTATAGGATTGTTAATACTGATGCATAATAAGCGGTATTTTACTAGCTGGCCAAGGTGGAGTTTTAATTACTTTATATACACTCTGGTACAGTGGTGCACAACCTTGTTAAGGCCCCTCCAAAGATCACAAGATAAATCTCAGGTTAGTGTAATGGTTAACAAGGTTGGAAAGAAAAAACAAACCTAAAAATGCCCCAATATGGGCTTACAACTAAATTGCCCCTAATGAAACCATTTATTATTTTTGGATTTACTGCTTATGTAAGACTTTTCCATCTCTAAAAGTATTATTTTTAGGACTCATCATCCCTTTGCTCAGTATTTAGAGTATGTGTCACTTTCATCTGCAGCTTCCAGGTGTGTGCTGGGCGTGCAAGTGGGCTTTAAAGAAGGTGAAGAAAGTCATCGGACCGAATGCCACAGCAGAGGTAACATACAGTCTAAACGTCTGACAGCTCAGTGAGCAGGATGATCTAGTTGCTGCTTTGCGTTATGAACAATAATGATAATCTTCTTCTCTCACAGAACATGGCATTGAAGTTGAAGTCCGTCTGCAAGCAAATTGGCCTCTTAAAACTTCTGTGCAACAAATTTGTGATGATGCACCTCGGAGAATTAATTGAGGAGCTCAGTACTACGGACGATGTGAAGACGATCTGTGTCAACACCGGAGCCTGCAAGTGAGTTACCGGCCCGCCATTATATTATTAACTGACAACATAATGTAGATATAGTGTATCTTCACAAAGCCCTTCCACAATAATTATTATTCTGCTATTACAACAATTCATAAATGCTTTTTTGAACCCTGAAAATGAGCATAATAGGTCACCTTTAAGTAAATAATTTCAATACATTTTAATAATTTTGTATCTTTCCCTGTTTTTCTGATGTGTCTCTTTAGGCCAAAGGAGTTGTTGGACCTGCTCTTTTATCCAATGGATGAGGAGTCATCAAATGAAATGAATGAATATCGCTAATGTCGTATGCATGAACAATAATCAAGATGCACTTAATTTGTTTGAATGATACTCAGTACATAAAAAGTATATGATCAAGAATCTCTTTCAGGGTTCTTTCTACTTTGCAATGTCTGTAACATCTATTTCTATTGATGTGCACAGAAGATATCAATAAATGTTTTCATTTCAAATTTTCAAGAATATTCTTTGTCGGACGAGACACTGTGTCAATTCAGACATCTTCACGCTCAACCCTCGTTAAAATCTCATAAGTCCAATTTTGGTGATTAACTATCACTCCAGTTGAAAGATTGCATGCATCTGAATGGTTTGAGAAAATTTACAGAGAAAAAACTAGGCTTTGAAACTTCTTATTCTACAATTCTAGTGTTTTTTTGTGGCGAAGCTTCTCAGATACCTTTCGTTTCTATACTTGAACTCTTACACCTTATGGCATCCAGTCTGTGTGTAGCTTTTAATGATGGACAGATGGCAAAAACAAGCAACCATTGCCCACTAACCTTCCTCTGCACCAAAGCAATGAAAAGGAGAAAATAAAACATGTTTGAAGTTGGTGTTAAATAGGTGATACAGGCCGGAATACATGTGAAAATGTATGAGCCAAATGTCTTGAAGACAGCACTGTCCTATCACCGCTCATTAGCCTCATCAAACAGCAGATCATCCTCACCTTTCTTTGTGTATATAAACCAGAAAGAATCCCTTCATGGAGATGAAAAATGGACAAAAGCCTCATGAGTCACTTTAATTGTTTTTTTATATTAAATCATACAATCCGGTATCCAGTGGGTGCGTTACGACACAAACACACTGCTGCCAACATAACAAACTTAAGACTTTGACGGACACACATAAATAAGGAGTACAAAATAGAAACACATAAAGCAGTCACACAGAATGTCCGTGGATGCCATGTCACTGGCAGTTTGCTCCTTTCGAAGATTTAAGTGCGCAGCCTCAAGCGATCACTGCTAACAGAGCAGACCCTCTAAGGAATAGCACCCTTATCATACAAGTTGTGTGTTCATGTTTTCAGACGGCTCAAAAAATCCAGTGTCCGCGATTAACGATCTGCCATTGTGTCTCCGACACATTTCACTTTTCCCCTCTTCATGTGGAGGAGCCAGCAGAGAGCAGACACTTGCTGTTTCGGTCAATGAAGTGTCCACGGGGCCGACTTGTGTCCCAGCTCTGCTTTAAGGCCTGCCGGTCCAGCTTGTTGAGTCCCTGAGAGCAAAGACGGAGGTCCTTGACCAGCTCCGACAAGCCATCCAGACCGGCACTGTCCCAGGGGCCGGACACCTCGCAACCTGTGGGAGAAGCAACAAGGAGCTTGTATTAGCTCACCCTTGTATTAAACTATAAATAATAAAAAAATAAAATAAAATTTGAACAATATTCACATTTTATAATCTTCAATATCCCCTTTGAACCTTCCAGTTTAAATATGTAGCGGCCATGTTAGGTTCAATACACACAAATACACACTGGTACCTTGAAGGTTTAGAAGGGTCAGAGGTCGACAAGCCTCTCGGAGTGAGATCAGGATGTTGTGAAGTGCTGCTGAGGTAACAGACGGATTTCCTGACAGGTTCAGACTCACCAGAGTCGGACATGAAGGCAGGCACCTGGGAGGAGAAACCAAAAAGTTTCAGAGAGAAACTGGTGATTGCAGACAGAGGCAAACAAAGGACGACAGACCAAACCATAGAAGTCCTAAATTAAAGATTGTGCACAGTGAAAAAGAGGCCGTGGCTTTGTGTTAATGTGGGAAGCTTGAAATGAATCCAATCATAATTCTGAGCACATGTTCACAGACGTTTGGCAGCAAACTTCAAAGACGTGATTACACTGTAATTATGATTAAAATGATGCATATTCTCACAAAACAATGCAGGGGCACACACTCACCTGGCCAAGGTGGCTATACTGCTGTCCGTCAACCCGTTTGCTGCCAGGCTCAGGTGGGTCAGTGAACACTCATCCTAGTACAAAGACCAATGATTTGATTAGTT